CCAAGGATCGGCCGTATCTTCCATGCTCTCCCATTTTTCAGTGATCGAAACTGTAGCAGCTGGAACCAATGTGCCTATGGTATATGGTTTATAGCTGACAAGCGTCTGCACTGCTGGGAGCTTTATGGTACTGAGATAGCGTGCCCGCTCAAACGCAGGATACCAGACCGAACGGTGACACTGCTCGAATCTCGGATAAGTGTTTCCTGCGTTCCCGAACATACTTTGACCCATCGAATTATCACACGTCAAGTGAAAGTGGGCTTGGGCGTGGCCACGAAGCCTGGTGGACACCAAACCCCGAGGAAATGGAAGAGGCCCAGAAAATCGGGTGTCCCCGAAGAATATTTATTTTTATCCGTGCACCTGGTCTGTGACTGAAACCAAGGGTCAAATGGCGCGACCATCTTGAAAAAAGAACCTTTCGACCGCTGGGCCGAATTCTCCAAACAACCATTTTCTTTGCCACTCACTACCGCTCATCTGTATCCTACAAACGAAGCACAACGTTGGAACCTGGGATCGCATGCATCCTTGGAGGTTTATGATTGTGTGTGTGTTGTGTATGTGTGTACGTTCTCTCAAGCACCACCGAACTCCCTCTCCAGATGTCCTCTCATTGTTCAAACATGTAGTTAAAGTCCTCAGTCGAGACTTGTTTGATCTGGTTGCCTGCATCTGGGAAATGGAGACGGTCCCAGACAACTGGGGAGAGTTGGTGGTAGTACCCATTTTCGAAAAAGGGGCTTTTAGTAAGTGTGGTAACCATAAGAGGATCAGCTTGTTCCCGGTTTTAACGAGACTGCTGGCGTCACATCGTCGCAATATAGTGGCACTTAAAACAGTGACACGAGAGCAGTGTAGTGGGAGTCGATGACTTAGTTAATCGATTATTGATCCGTTGAGTAGAATGAGAAGACTTCGCCTAAGGATAGGCTTTATTCAACATATAAGCACAGTATAGGCTGAAATGACAAGTGAAAGTGAATTAATGGAAATAGCAGTAAAGCGTAACTTTCACTACATTCACTCCGGCAGGCAAAATGTCAGTTGAACCTAACAGAAATGTGTTGTTGGTAACAGAAAATGAACGTAGTGCGGATGAACAATTGAAAATGGTTAAAGTAATTTTTAGTATTTTGAGGGTCTGAATGGAACACTGAAATAACGTTTCGTCGTGGACGCAAGAAAGTTTGTAACACCTGATCTAGACTTCGCGGCTACGTAAATTGTAGGGACGAGTGCGTTGCTGTTGCATCAGAAGATTCTGAGCATTTTCTGATATGCTCGTTTTCGGTCTGTTTCGAATCTCTGGTAATATTCCAGCATTTCCTTCACTGTTGTTATCATCCGATAACATTTGAGACTCGAGCTGAACATTTTCTGATCCCCTATCGCCACCTGCGGGTGCGAGTTGACGGATGGAAACTGTTTGGTCCCTACCGTCTTTGAGCCGAATATGGGCATACTCAGGATTGCATTCTAGTAACGTCGCTTCTTCCACAATTGGGTCATATTTTGATGTGCGGTCAAACGACTTCACAAGGACAGGACCTGGTGATGTTAGCCAGCTAGGCAGAGATGGTCCGTACGATGATCGACGCTCGTGAACAAACATTCTCTCATGTGGCGTTGAATTAGTAGCCGTACAGAGTAACGACCGAATGGCATGCAGAGCATCGATGAGCATATGTTCCCAATGTCCAACGTCGAGATTACGAGATGTTAGACCGAGTGTGATAGCTTTCCAAAGCGTTCCGTTTAGCCGTTCCACTTGTCCGTTGCCCTGGGGGTTATAGGGAGTGGTTCTGCTGGTAGCTATATGCCTGCTATGCAGAAATTCTTTGAGTTCGACGGACATGAATGAAGGGCCTCGGTCCGAGTGAATATAGGCTGGCATACCGAATATTGAAAACAGTTGACATAAACAACTGATGAGTGTCGATGCTTTCATATCCGGACAAGCGAAAGCAAATGGGAATCGCGAATACTCATCTATGATCGTTAGCAGATATTTGTTACGAGTAACCGAAGGTAAAGGTCCTTTAAAGTCGATGTTCAGGCGTTCAAACGGCCGGGTAGCCTTTATTAGTTTTCCCTGTATATGACGATGAAACCGAGGTTTTATTTGCGCACATACCCTGCACTGTGCGCCAACGGCCCTAACTTCGTTCAACGAATATGGGAGATTTTTCGATCTGACAAAGTGAAACATTCTTCGGACTCCGGGGTGGCATAACGAGGTATGTATGGTCAGCAGTTCGGAAGAATTAGACACGGAGCTACAAAACTGGCGGGATAGTGCGTCGGCAGCTTGATTCTCTTTGCCCGGACGATAAACGACATCATAACTGAAGGGAGAAAGTTCGATGCGCCACCGTAGTACCTTATCATTTTTAACTTTACCTTTATGGTTAGTATCATACATAAAGGCAACAGATCGTTGATCCGTTATCAACTTGAAGTGATTACCAATGAGGTAATGTCGCCATTTTCGTATAGATTCAACTACTGCATACGCCTCCTTTTCAACAGCGGAATGGCGTTGCTCAGATGGAGACAGTGTTCTGGAGAAAAAGGCCACTGGTCTTCCGTTTTGATTTAGGGTGGCTGCGATTGCCACATCAGACGCATCTGTCTCGACTACCAACGGTTGTGTGTAGTCGATAGAAACAACCAGGGCGTTAGCCAGTTCCGATTTCAGTACATGAAACGCCGTTTTCACCGATTCAGGTAGAGGAAATATTTGGTTGTGCACGAGTGGATAAATTTTATCAGAAAAATGTGATATCCAGTGCGAATAGTATGAAAACAACCCGATCGCTCGCTGTTGGGATTTTTGGTTACTGGGTAGCGGAAGATTGCGGAGTGGTTGCAATCTATCGGGGTCTGGTTTGATAGTACCTTTAGATACTTCATAACCTAACAACCGTACAGTTCTTGTACAGATTGTACTCTTTGCTTCATTGAAAATGAGTCCGAAACGCCGCGCCACTTCTTTGAACTTGGCTAAATTAGCATCATGTTCTTCCATAGACTTACCACATATAGTGACATTGTCTATATATGCAAAAGTGTCAGCCAGTTTCTCTTTGGCAATGATTTCATTAATTGTGCGTTGGAAACAAGCAACGCCGTTCGTCACACCGAAGGGTATCCGACAAAATTGGTACAAATTGCCATCAGCCTCGAAAGCAGTATATTTACGTTCGTCGGCGCGGATAGGAATTTGATGATAGGCACTGCGTAGGTCGAGTGTGCTGTATAATTCATAACAAGCGATCTTTTCTATCATTTCATCGATGCGTGGGAGTGGATACGCGTCCAGATACGTATAACGGTTAATTGTTTGACTATAATCAACCACCATTCGTTTCTTGTGACGCTCGTTGGTTGTGACCAAGACTTGAGCGCGCCATGGTGACGTTGATGGCTCTATAACTCCATCACGCAACAGGGTATTTATTTCCTTGCGAATAAAAAGTTGATCAGGAAAAGACTGACGTCTGGTTTTTGTCGCGACAGGTTTACACATTGGTGATAGATTCTGGAACAAAGTCGGTTCAGGAACCTTAGCAGCTGTCAAATTGCAAAGGGAAACAGGTGGTCGGGAACCGCCGAATGGTATTTCTAATCCCTCGTGCAGGTTGAGGAAGTCGTGACCGAGCAACACATCAGCACATAGATGCGGCAGAACGGATAGCCTGACATTTTTGTAATCGAAGTCTTTTAGCTGTAGGTGCACCAGACAATGTCCAAGGGTATCACTCACAAAAGATGTGTTAGCCATAGAGATTTTGCTTCTTGATTCAAGTACTCGCCAGCTATACTTATTGACGACTGATGCTGAGATATAACTCTCAGAACTACCAGTATCGACTAGGGCTTGGAGACGGACACCGTTAACATGAACATGGCTAATCGCTCGTTGTAGGCATACGGGAGCAGACGCAACAGTAAGCGCCGACAACAAAGATTGAGTAGTCGCCGTCTGTGGCTTGATTTTCTGTTTGGAACGACAAACTGACTGAAAGTGACCCTTTTTACCACACAGCTTGCATATGGCATCTCTGGCGGGACAGGCTGTTCGCGGATGTCGGCTATAGCCACAAAAGAAACATTTATTAGTTACCGCAGAAACCAGGATTGTATCTTCTGACTGGGCTGTATCTTGAATTAAGCCACTTTGTGGAGCAGCGTTGCAAGGGTTGGATGAGATGGGTACTTGATACGACAATGCCTGTTTGTATGCCGATTCTAATGCTTTAGATTTTTCTACGGTTTCACGTAGCGTCAACGTATGGTGCTCCAACAACCTCTGGCGGATTTGAGTAGACTGAATGCCCGATATAAATGCGTCCCTGATAGCTTCGTCACGACGTACATCGCCTATCACACTTTGATAATTACAATCAACAGCTAACGTCCGTAACTTTTGCACATACTGATCGAGTGTTTGCTCATTGTCTTGTTTGCATGTGTGAAGAACGTGTCGAGCGAAAATTTCGCTTTTGGTGGGGGCATAGATTGAACAAAGAGTATCGACAGCTTCTTTGAAAGTGGTGCACTCAGAAACGGATTTATAGACAGAAGGAGAAAGATAATTGATCAAAAGTTCCAGTTTGTCCGGATTATGCGTCTCAATACAAGATAAAAAATGGGAGAATGTACGATACCAGTGAGTCCATTGGTCGGTTGCATCAGGAGCGTATGGATCCGCGTCAAATCTGGCTGGTTGAGCAAAGCGTTCCATGGATGAGAAATAATATGTTGAATAAATTGTAGTGGGAGTCGATGACTTAGTTAATCGATTATTGATCCGTTGAGTAGAATGAGAAGACTTCGCCTAAGGATAGGCTTTATTCAACATATAAGCACAGTATAGGCTGAAATGACAAGTGAAAGTGAATTAACGGAAAAGTAAATAAAGCGTAACTTTCACTACAAGCAGCAAGCGGGATTCTGGTCTGATGGGGGTTGCGTTGACCGAATCGTCGAGTTCACACGGTAGGTGGAGGCTGAAATGACGAGTGAAAGTGAATTAACGGAAATAGCATTAAAGCGTAACTTTCACTACAAGCAGCAAGCGGGATTCTGGTCTGATGGGGGTTGCGTTGACCGAATCGTCGAGTTCACATCATCGGTAGGTGTGGTGGAGCGTAGCGATGGATCGGTTGTTATGCCTGCGGCGTCAAAGCGACATACCCTTGAATCTCAAGGGTCGTGTGTTTTGCGCAATGGTACGGGCTATTTTTTGTATGTTTGCGAGACTTGGCCTGTTTAAGCAGCGGAAATGAGACATTTCAGGTCTTCGAAAACCCTTTTCTCAGAACCACAGTTCGTGTGGGTTGATGTTGGCGAGTCCGTAACGGGGTAGTTAGAAAGCAATTGTTCGGCAGTGCAACGGGACATTCATGGAAGAGTATGTCCTGGAACGATGTTGAGGAATGATATCTGGCGCTGGATTCCTGTTTCTGATGACTGACTGGTGTCGGTATCCCATTCAGATTCGTTATGTCCTTCCGGTGGTTATGTTGGGGGCTGAGTGGTTTCTTAGAATGTCCAGTTCATCACCCAAGACAACAGCTCTGTTCTGTCAGTCTCGCGGGTTTTTGCGCTTTCCAGCCAGTCTAGCTCAGTACCAATTAGCTGCTGGAGTCATTGAAGTTAATGGACTGAATAGGTCTGCTTCAGCATACGTAATCCAGGGTGGAAGAGAATTGACAACCTAGCCCGCACGATGGCATGATTGGAGTCAGGTTGCTGTTGCGAGAGTCGAGTAGTTCCAGGACGGGATTAGAAAGGAGACAGAATAGGAAGACGTAATGTACGCTTTAATCGTCTAATAACTGTAGTACATGAGCTGAAAATAGAGT